CAGGGCAGTTTCTAATACATGATCAATTTATGAATAAATTGATTCATGAACCCATCGTTGTTTTTGGTGCTGAACCCTGCATTTTTAATAGAGGATCCGCACGCGGCGCATGTATTAAAAAAAACGGCACTGTAGCCCCGCCCGGCCTCTCCCGGCGCAGCGCCCGGGCTGCCAGTCCCGGGCAGGCTGGGGCTATCGTGCCGCCATCGGCGATCCATGGGCCATTGGAGGTCGATGCACCCCCCCCTGATGCCTATCCCCCCCTACCGTTGCCCCTAACTACAGGGCAGTCTTTAATACATGATCAATGTATGAATAAATGTATGCATGAGCCCATCGTTGTCTTTGATGCTAAACCCCAGCATTTGTAAGACATGACCCGCACGCGGCGCATGCATAAAAAAAACGGCACTGTAGCCCCGCCCGGCCTCTCCCGGCGCAGCGCCCGGGCTGCCAGTCCCGGGCAGGCTCGGGCTATCGTGCCCCCCTCGGCGATCCATGGGCCATTGGAGGTCGATGCACCCCCCCTTGTGCCTATCCCACCCTACCGTTGCCCCTGACTACAGGGCAATTTCTAATGCATGATCAATATATCAATAAACTTATGCATGAACTCATCGTTGCTTTTAATGCTAAACCCTGGCATTTTTAAGACATGACCCGCACGAGGCGCATGTATAAAAAAACGGCACTGTAGCCCCGCCCGGCCTCTCCCGGCGCAGCGCCCGGGCTGCCAGTCCCGGGCAGGCTGGGGCTGTCGTGCCCCCATCGGCGATCCATGGGCCATTGGAGGTCGATGCACCCCCCCCTTGTGCCTATCCCCCCCAACCGTTGCCCCTGACTGCAGGGCAGTTTCTACCCCCCCCTACCGCTGCCCCTTATGACTATCCCCCTATGGCTATCCCCCCCCCTATGCCAATCCCCCCGTACCGCTGCCCCTGACTTGGGCGCCCGAGTTATCCGGGGTAACTCGGGTCCGGGGTAACTCGGGTTTGGATTCCCGAAAAGGGAACCCGAGTTATCCCTGACCCGAGTTACCCCTGATGATTCTGGGGCTCTGGACGCCCGAGTTATCCGGGGTAACTCGGGTCCGGGGTAACTCGGGCTTGGATTCCCGAAAAAGGAACCCGATATATCCCTGACCCGAGTTACCCCTGATGATTCGGGGCTCTGACTGACTGTAGCCCCGCCCGGCCTCTCCCCGCGCAGCGCCCGGGCCGCCGGTGCCGGGGAGCCTCCGCCATGCTGGCGGCGGAGCGGGGCCGGAGGGCCGGGGCAGCGCATGCGGGCCCGCGGCCGGGGCCCGCAGGGGTCGGGGCCCGGGGCCGCGGGCCGCGGGCGGCCTGAGCCAGGGCCGCTGCAGGCGGTGTGCTGCGGGGAGGAGGAGGAGGAGGAGGAGGAGGAGGAGGAGGAGGAGGAGGGGGAGGAGGAGGAGGAGGAGGAGGAGGGAGGAGGAGGATGAGGAGGAGGAGGAGGAGGAGGAGAGGGAGGGAGGGAGGGAGGGAGGAGGGAGGGAGGGAGGGAGGGAGGGAGGGAGGAGGAGAAGGAGGAGGAGGAGGAGGAGGAGGAGGAGGAGGAGGAGGAGGTGGCGGCGCGCACTGCGGCGGCGAGCCTCCCCCCCCTGGGCTCCCGGGCGTTTGCGGGAGGAGGCTCCCTGCGCCTCCCGCTTCGGGGCTCGCTCAGAGACGACGCGCTGCGCCACCAGACGGCGGCGGCCACGGGATGCGGAGCGCGGAGCGGTGCTTGGAGTGGTCACGCGCGTGCAGGCGAGGGCAGGAGCGGAGGAGTCGGGTCCCCCCGAGTTTGAGGCGCAGGGATCGAAATGAAGAATCGCGTCCCTCCCCCCCCTCCTCCCTCCCTTCCCTCCCTCCCTCCCCCCTCCCTTCCTTCCTCCTCCCCCCCCCCCCTCTCCCTCCTCCCCCCCCCCCCTCTCTCCCTCCTTCCTCGGGTTCACCCTGCTGGCCACGATCGACCCGGGCGTCGCGCGGCTGGCTCGGGGACAGCGCCAGGGGGGCGCGGGGGCGCCCCTGGGGAAGACTCCTCGGGCGAGGCGGCGCTGACGGTCTCAGAGGAGAGCCCAAAGCCGTCTCGGGCCTCGTCGCGTCGTGAAGAGGAGCGTTCACGGGGGCTTTCGGGCGCTTCCGCCTGCTGTCGGGAAGCTTCTCGCCCCGGGATGCCCTCCAGCAACTGCGGCCCGTCAAGAGCGTTCCACGGGTGCCGAGATGGTCCCAATGGCCCGCCAGAGGCCCACGAACAAAGCCACGCCGCGACAGAACTCGCGACGCCGGGTGTCTGGGTCCTGCACGGACCCTCTGATACCCTTCGCACGAAAACGCGTAGGCAGGAGCAGGAACGTGAGAAGCAGCAGGGCGAGGGCCCCGACCTTCCAGAGTGCTGACAAAAAGATCCCCTCCAGACCAGTAGATCGATCTGGACTGCCAAAGCACCTCGACAGGAACTGAAGAAAATCAAGGTCCTGGTTGCCAATCCTCCTGAAAAAGGTCCGGGAAGGTGGCGGTGGCCGCAAGGGCAGGAGCTTGGAGCACGAGCAAGAGTGGGAGTCAGAAAGAGGTACTGACAGAGCAGGGCTGAACCTAAACGTTGTTGTTTGTTTTGTTGTCGTTTTGTTGTTCGTTTTGCTCTACTGGTTTTCCTGTACTTCCTTGCCAAAGCGACCAACAGAACACAACCAAAATCCAGCAAAGCAGCGTTTAGGTCCAGCCGCGAGACAGAGGAGCATGAGCATGATGCCGGGAAGGGCGACGATCGGGAGGATCGGTAGAGATTTTGTCGCGGAGGTCCTGGTAACTCCCGTGGCTCCTCGACTCGCAGCTGGGGATGCCACGATCTGTCCGGATGCGTCTGGACATCGCTGGACCTGCCTCGAGCGATCTTGACTTGCATCGCCTTGCGTGGTCGACTCCGAACCGCTGCTTGGCGGCGCGCACAAGGGGGGGCCTTTGGGGGAGGGGGGGAGGCCTTCTTGGAAGGAGGCTGCCTCTCAAGAAGGCGCCAGCCCCACATCTCTAGATCTGGCTCGCGCCCTCGAAGCAGCAGGGGTGCTTCTGAGAAGCCTCCCCCCCTCCCCCTGCCCCATCGGTGCGCGCGGCAAAGGAACATGTTTCTGCCGGCGGAACCGCTGGCCTCCGCCCGCCTCTCTGCCGAGGAAGGGGGATGCGCGCCGCAGGAGGGGCCCTTCTGGAACGCGCCACGTGGTGATGTTCGAACAACTTTGAAGGGGCCCTGGGACACACAAATAAATGCACACAAATAAAAATATTCCCCATATTTTCCCATATTCTCTGGTTTTTTGTCTCCCCCCCAATTCCCACATTTTCCCATATTTTCTGGGAAATCGAGGATTAATTGTGTCTGTGTCTTTCTTTTCCTCCTGAAACTTGGCTCCTCAGAAATCTGGACCCCATCCTCTGGAGACCGGCTTTCCGTTCCGGCTCGTTTTTGGACGGCCCCCCAGGTAGCCGAAAACTGCCACAGTCCTTCTCACGACGCGAAGATCGATGTCGGGGTGCCTCGGCCCATCTGGCTTGATCTCCACGAACTGGTCGCAAGAATGCCGTCAAGCCCTTGCGGGGTCCCCGGAGAAGGGGGGCGTCACGAGTACGCCGAGTGGATGTACGTCGACCTGCCTGGGGGGAACTAAAAGATACCCATACCGCTGCTGTGCTCTGACCAGGAGTTCGAAGCAAATCCAGCCGTGGTACCGAGAGAAGGCAGCGGCATCGGTACCTTTCCCTCCTCTGACTAATTCTGGGTTGGCCCCCGCAATATCGGAAGTATTGTCGAGCCTCTGGGGACGAGAGCGCAGGGCCCTCATCACTGGATACTTGAACTTTCCAATCGCGAGCGACGAGATCGGTCGCTACCGATCTTGCGTCGTGACCGCTCTGTTTCAAAATAGGTCTTTGGGGTCGGGCGCGATGGGTCGCGACCGAGTTGGGCTGCCGATGGGTAGATTCCGGAGCGAAAACATCTGGCGGGTCCCGGAAACTCAACCTCAAAATGTTGTCAATTCTTGGGTTACGTTGCTCCCATCGTACTTAAGGACCACATCCCAGAAATCATGTCGAGCACCCGGAAAAAGCGTCGAAAGAGTGCCGAAACAGTCTCCCAGGGCCCGACACGTGAAAAAC